AAAGAAATTAAATAATGAAGAATCTGCATGAATACATGTATGTTTCTTGCACTGTGATAGAAGCGACGGATTCTAGAGCCATAAAATTTTGAATAATGTAATCCTCCACCCGAGCATGGGCATCTGGACGGCGAATTCGAATTATTTTTTATTTCATATTTTGTAAAACTTTAACGAATTTTTGAAACAAAATTCAAACGAGTTCGAGTAACACTGTACGGAAAATAACATTCTCCAGTGCGGAAATTCTAAAGATATGCGGTTTTCAAATGTATGTGGTTTACGGGCGAAGAACATGATATCATAAATATAGCTAACACAGAAAACAAAAAAAAAAGTTCCTTTTGGACGTAATATAAAATCTGAGTGCTTCTAGATTTTATTTTATCTTATTTTTTTTTTCTTTATTACACTCAGAAAATTTTATGCTGCGAATTTTATAAATTACTAAAATAAATAACCCACTTTAATCTTAATAATTTAATGATGATATAATCAAATGAATAATCGTTTTTAATGCTATTATAGTTTTGAAAATCACTGCCTGAAAATGTTCATTAATTTTTTTTTAATTATCAGGTCTTGTTTAATTTTACATTATTTATTTTAAAGCATCACGTACTATCAATCTTGTTTAATTTTACTTTATTTTTAAAGTTCATAAATTTTTCGCTTAGAGTTTTTACAGTTTTACCAAAGTAAAGATGTTTGTACAAGAATTACGCGTGAAAGCAATGTGCGAAATGCAGTAAAAACTGCTTTAATCAGATATATTAAATTCTATTTGAAAAAACTGTGACTTTCATAATCTCATCACTATACAACGTGTCACATTTTATAATTAAAAACAGTTATGTGATACAAACGCCATAGGTTTCACTGTTAAAGTAAACCAGATCGTCCCTACTCTTTCTTGGACATGTCGGTGACGCCGCGCTCCCCCACTGGGTTAGTCTATCTGTTATAAGGTCCATGGTAATTTGATGACGTCAGATGTCATGTGAGCTGCGCACTATATAACGTCACAAAAAATCACGCATGGACCATATAAGAAATAGACTAACCCAAAATGGTTTCTCCCTCGTCTGACGCATCCCGGCTGTCACCTTCATCACATCGGAAAGACAGGGACGACTGCAGAAATTAACGTGTTGCCTATTGCAGGTGTATAATTGTCAAAAAAGCGGTTGTACGCCTCATTTCACAAATTAGAATCTCTCCATATTTTATTTGAACAATGAGATTGATTTTTAAAAATTTAGCATATTTATCAAGCATCATAGCGTTCATATAATTATAGAGCTATTGCATGCTTTCAGGGTGGATATTTATTAGCTTTCCTATGCTGTAAGGAAATTTGTAACTACTTTTAGAAATATATTTTTAATATGAACTAATAGAAAATTTCAAACAAGCAATTTTTATGCTTTTTATTGGTGTAAATAAGAAAAAAATATAAAAAATTTAAAAAACGAAATTTTGAAAGTTTTGTTAAATTCTAATTGTGTGCTTTTTTAATTTATAGATGAGTATTATTGCCCAATTTCTATAAAGGAATTTATTTCAATTATATTTCATAATGCATCATAGTGATAAATATTTTTGACACCTTTAATTTTTATACATTTAATCTAATTAAAATTGTATTTAAGCGTAATAATAAGTATGTTTGTATTTTACAGTGATTATTAAAAAAAATTTTTTTTAGTTCTGTATAAGATTTTTTTTTTTTACGTTATTTAATTTATTTATTAGCTCGAAGCGCATTTTGCGCTGTTTCACTATAAATGTCCGTATCTCCTTGCAAATTGCTGTTACCAAATATTATCGCCCTGCATTATATTTAAAGAAATTAAATAATGAAGAAATCTGCATGAATACATGTATGTTTCTTGCACTGTGACAAAACGACGGTAATCTAGAGCCATCAAATTTTGAATAATGTTATCCTCCACCAGAACATGGGCATCTGGACGGCCTAATTTCGAATTTGTTTTATTATCTTTTTCATATTTTGTAAAACTTTAATGGATTTTTGTTTAACAAATTCACCGATTTTAAAACGAGCAATGGCAACACTGTACGGAAAATAACATTTTTATTTCCAGTGCGGAAATTCTAATGATATGCTGTTTTCAAATGTTACGGGAGATGTTTCAAATGTGGTTTACGGGCGAAGAACATGATATTCAATAAATATACTCGTAGGTAACACACAAAACGTTAAAAAAAGGTTCCTTTTGGGCATAATATAAAATCTGAGTGCTTCTAGATTTAATCTTTTTCTCCCTTCATTACACTCAAAAAACTTTATGCTCCGAATTTTATAAATTACTAAAATAAGTAATACACTTTAATGTTAATAATTTAATGATGATATAATCAAATAAATAATCGTTTTGTAATGTTATTATAGTTTTGAAAATCACTGCCTGAAAATGTTCATTAAATTAAAAAAAATTATCAGATCTTGTTTAATTTTACCTTATTTATTTCAAAGCATCAGGTACTATCAATCTTATTTAATTTTACTTTATTTTTACGCAAAATTAAGTTCATAAATTTTGTGCTTAGAGTATTTACCGTTTTATCAAAGTAAAGATGTTTGTACAAGAAATGCGCGAAATGCAGTAAAAAGTGCTTTAATGAGATGTATTAAATCCAATTTGAAAAAAACTGTGACTTTCATAATCTCATTACTATACAATGTATCACATTTAATAATTAAAAACAGTTATGTGATACAACGCAATAGGTTTCAGTGTTAAAGTAAACCAGATAAGTAAACCAGATCATCCCTACTCTTTTTTGCGGACATGTCGGTGACGCGCACCCCGCCCACTGGGTTACTCTCTCTCTTATAAGGTCCATGAAATCACGTGATCTTTGACGTTATTTGCGATTTTAGTTGAAAAATAATCTGGCAACACTGTTCAGGTAGTGAAATTACGAAGTCTGTACATACATTTTAATATCTACGCAAAATAAATTAAGTATCCGATTACAATTTCCTTTCAGTCCATTTTTAGTAACTTCTTTTTTTTTTTTTTTTTTTTTTTTTGGAGGAGGGGAGGACAATTTTCTTTCAGCTTTTTAACTGACATGAGACTTTAATTGCTGTTTCAAACTCTAGAACAACTGTTATTTTTTTATGTGATGAAATAGAAAATTTTGGTCTCATTATAAGGTTATTTGAATATGGCAAAGCACATGAGGGCTGTCTGCGTAAGGGTAGAGATGCCTCCGCGAAGGCCTAAGGAAAACTGGCTCGTATTCACGTTATCCATGGGAAAACCCAACCACGCAGCTAGCTCGTTCGCCTGGAATCGAAGCCAGGTCGAACTACCATTATACAACGGTGTTAATCACTCGAGTACTGATGGGGCGACCACCTCATTACAAGAGAAAATTGTGCGTTCTGATTATCTATATCGCATGAAAAGTCGCAAGTCACTGATAATTTTATAAATTGCCGCCCAGTCGGTACAGTGGCTAGTGGCGTTGAATGTCGAATCGATTGGCCCGGCTTCGAACCCAGGAAATTACGGGATTCTGTGCGACAAGGGCGTACTCAAAATAGAAGGCGAGCCGAAAGTTTGCAGCTTCAGCGCCAGTTTTAGGCTTTTCTGATACATAATTCTTACCTTTTAATTATACCATATGCATATATATATATATATATATATATATATATATATATATGTATTTCACTGCCGATCTTTACTGGACAAAAAATGGCAGCTCTCTTTTCTGTGTAGCTAAATTTATACAAAAAACATCTTCAGCTGGCGAATTATATTTCTTGGAAGTTTGTTTTGCATTTAAAACTACTTGGTTCTGATTAAGGTATGTTAATTAACCAGCTATTATGATTTTGATATTTACTATAATGTCTCTTTTGCGTATTCCTCACCAGAATGTAAATTAGCTTTGAGTGTATTTAATCTGAAGGTTTTGAATTTTACTGACAATCGCGTCTTGCTGTTAATTTAAGCCAGCTCTGCTTAAAATTTATTTCTGGCTTAAGCAGTCTTGCTAACCGATGCTTTAAATTGCGCGCTGTAAAATACTTTGAGCCAAGTTTGTTCTATTTAATATGAACTACGTCTTAGACTACGTTATCAGGGTTTGAATTTAATTTCCTATTATTGCTTAATTTAAATAACCGCAAGTGGTGATTTTGGCTGTAGCACAAGTTGTGCCTTTATGCTCAATTTAAATTAATATAAAAAGGGGATTTTAAACCTTCTTCAATACTTTGCGAGTGTTTAAAACGTACCGATAACTCGCTATTTTATTTAGTACGGTCTGCAGGACTTACTTCTAGTGCCAGTTACAACAGTAACCCTGCAAAAATATCTCAGTTTTAATCCGTGTTTACCATTAGCCTTTAAAGAACTCGTTTCTTATTTGCATTTCGATCAGTTTTTCATTAACTGACGACGCTAGGAGTTCCAGTTTCTATGATTTAGTCAGAATATTGTAGAACTAGCATATGTTTTTAATTTTCGATATTTTCACTTTCTCTGCTGAAAAGATTCTGTTTGGAATTGATTATTGATTTTCGAAACTATAGTACTGCTGTTTCATTCATACAAGTTTACTATAACTGGATTTTTTAGCACTAGATTTTTAGCAAGTTGGATTCTTTAGCATTCAATTTTTTTATCGTTTTCTTTTGTAACATTAATAAAAAGTTTCACTGCCGATTTTATTGTTCAATGAATGCCGTTGAATTAACGGCATTCATTGAACAATAAAAAAAAGTCTTTTGTAACGTTAAAAAAAATAACGATGAACTGTTAAAAACGTATGGAATTAAGAACAAATTTAATTTCTGTATTATATTATCAGGCTTATCTTATAGAGAAGTTTTTATTTCACAGTTGAAATATTCTGTAACCTGGAATTATTACAGTTTAATTGTAGGTCTAAGATGTAGGACAGAGCAGAATATGTATGGTATGATACAGATTTTCATTCAGAGGGAAAATGAAAAATGAAGTCTTATAAAGTATTTTATTCAGTTTTTAAACAAAGTTGTTATTCAATATTAAAATGAAAGCTAGCAATGATAGTCTTAAGCAAAATTAATGTGAAATTTCGCATTTCAGGATATTAACATAAAAATAACTTTAATTCAAATAATTTTTAAGCTGACATAAATATTAAAAATAGTAAAATAATTTTTAACATACAATTTTAATAACATTAAGTTTACAGTGCTTTTAAGTACATTCATTTTATTGTCATTTTCATAGCACCATTCTATGAGCATAGCGACTAGAAAAAGTTTAAAAAATAGCAAACATACAAAATGGCAGACCAGAAACTTGGAATAGTTCATTACCATATAAATAAAGCTAAGTTACTCGTCAGTTCGTTGAAAACAGCACAACATAAAAGATATTTTAATATCAAAGTCTTTTTTTGAGGAAAGGTGAACATCTTGAATAAGTTCAATGTAATATGTTGAATTAACGGCATATACATACAGCCTAAATGCCTTTGGAGCAATTCATGTATTTTTGCATTTTTCTGGCCTGCTGGCAGTATATTTAAATGTTATATGGCAGTATATTTAAACGTGAGCGTTACTGGGAGCTGTTCTATTTTCCAGTCTACAAATAACAAAATCGAAATTGCTGTTTGTCATGGTAAAAGCATGTATTAATATAATTGGATACCATGTATAAAATGTGCAATTGCTTTCTTTCTTTAAATTCATACAGTTACGCACTTATTCATTTTTTCCTAACTGCATTTTTTTACTTACTATATTCATATGATTTAATCCAGTAGAAAATCTAATAAGTCCTTTTACATGTCATTTAACAGTTCTAATACTGTTTTTATGAAATATATACTATTATCATTTGCTGTTTACCTCCATTTTTTATATTAAGATGATAGTTGAGTGTAATGTAAAAGGTAGTTTTAAGTTATTTTTACCTAATTTCAAATGACTATATTGAAATTTACAAACGCACAGCGATTGGTGACAAAGAAGAGCTTAAAAATAAAGATATTGCTGTTGCTGGTAGAGTCAATGATAAAAGACAATCTAGAGAGGTAATTTCGATGTATTGTCTAACTATAATGAGTTATATATATTGCCTGGATGTTGCTCATCACATGCCTTACTTTTATGAAGAAAGACAAAACATGTACATTTTGCTTTAGTATGATGTGTCACTAACCGCTCTCTGTTTATAAACTTCAAAAGTAGGGTAATTGGAAAAATTATTCTGAATAATTCTCTGTAAATTACTGTTAATTTGAAGGATTTTTAATTTTCATACTTTTTTATTTTTCATGACTTAGTGCCAAAACTGATGTCCAAAACAATTCAGAAACACGGCTAGTGATAAATAGAATTTAAAATATAACTGCTTCAAGAAGCTGGTAAAAAAATAATTTGCATGCTTTTAGAAATCTGACGTCCCTAGTATCTTTATTTTCAACTTATGAACATTAAATGTCCCTTGTTTTAAAATTACAGTCCCACTAAGTAACGCTCAGCATTTCAGTTTGTTTTCAGTCAGTTTTCAATCTATTTTTGATCATGTCACAGTTGTACTTTTAAGGCACACGTTGCAGCGGCTGACTCGTGAGCGCAGATTATTTGCCTTGAGTGTGGTGCTGATCGGCCTCTCAAACTGTTCTTCGTCTTCAATGGTTGTCAACCAGAAACTGAATTTGTTTGCAAAGTAGTGGCATGTTCCTCGCGCACCATTGCATTCAATAAATGGAGTAGCTCTGAAGTCTTCCAGACAACTGCCAGGACTAGACAGGGATTGTCCACCTCCTTCTGCGCCTGCTGCAGTATGCTATAAGATTAAATAAAGTATATAGAAAATTTACAGCAAAGTGATAACATTCCTAAAATTTGTAAGGACAACAGAATTTCAGAATTGTAGTGAAACGAAGAATGAATATGAAGCATACTCAGAAAGTAAATTTAATCTGTTTATGAAACTATAAAAACGCAAAGCCATGCAACAAATTGCTATATTATCAAAGCCGGGGCTGGACATTTTGCTGCCCGGCGCAAACTCTGCGTTTCCTACATTCTGCCGCCTAGTCCCTTCCGAAATTCCAAAAAACTTCTGCCTGCCATAAATCCCGCCTCCCGGTGCGAACGTACCGGTTGTACGGACTCTAGGGTCAGCCCTGTATATCATAAATATGTTTTCATGTTCCTCAACTTTTCAAATTAATGCATGCATTTTCTTTAGCCTAATAGAAAGTATGGCGTCATAAAAAATCTACTAGGATGGCCGTCGCCCACTTGAAAGAATGTATGACGGAAGGGAGGAGACGGTAGTTATCCAATTTTAGGGTACCAAGGGATATGAGAAACGAGTAGAAATTTATCCGAACTGAAAAGATAATTTGAGGAACGTATCAAAATGTTAGCATCTTCAGAAGACAAGTGTTAGCACCTTAAGAGGACATTCAAGGGCAAGGAAGCTCAGTACAGACTGTGATGTTCCTCACCTGTTCTCTGTGATAAAACGTCGAGGAATCGTCGATAAAACGTTGAGTCGCTACGTAGCGACTTATTGTTGAGTTCAGACAATTAAAACGTAGACTCGAGAAGGGTTAAATTACCTTTCTATTCACTCAAATAAATAATACAGTCGGCCCCTTCTCAGTCTTACAGGAAAGCTTCTACTCGGGCATTAACTCAGGATAAGTAAACTAATTTAATATTAACTAAACTAGACTTAGCCGAAGCTAGACACAATTATCTAACGTAGTTGGCCCTTAAATTAAAAGAAGCCGGCGAATATCATTAGGCTCGTATAATACGGCCGAGCGTAACAGCTTTAATAATGAATTAGGCAGAAGCAAACACCCGCCACTAAGGACTCCCAGCACTCTCTCTCGAAATTAGTTGAACTTCCAATAAATACTACTCCTAACATATTTACATTGAACGCTATTCTAAAAACTCATTCTGGTAGGGAGTTGTAAGTAGGGAACGAGAATTGAAAGGAAAGGGTTTCAAAATTAAAATGACTGTTTTAAAATTAAAATACACCTTACAAGATAATAAGATAAAAGAACTGGTATATCAATACCTACGCAATGAGTCAAAGGGGATTTTTTCCCTTTGCGGAATACAGCTTTTCGTGAAACGCTGGCAATGCACGCATTGAAAGTGACAGGAAGTAAGCAATAAAATAAGGTTTTTCAAGTCTTGTTTGCGCTTTATTTTATTGGTAAAAAAAAGCTAATTATTGTTCATTTTCAGAACACATAAAGGCACTGACATAACGTACTTAAGAAAAAAAACTTTAAAATTATCTTACCATTGCAAAACTGTATCCAATCCAGAGAGAATTCCAACCTTTTGGACAATCAGGTATTGCAAGTGACTGGCTGTGAACTGCAATAACGTTAGCAGGTGTCTCGCAAACAACACATCGACTGATGTATTCTTGGATCATATCATCCCCTACAGGCATCATAGGCAGAGGAGCATTTGTCGATAGCCAGTAAGATTTGTCGTTGCGGCTTGCGTAATTGCAAACACTGTTGAAATCGCAGAAGAGGAAAGGCATTGTACTGAATCGCTGCATGCACGATCCGGCGAAGCCTATAAATGGTACGAGATAAAAATGTAATGAAAATAATGATTGCGATTTTATTTGCTTGGCATACAGTAAATACTGTAGACGAGACAATACAGAAACAATACGCTTAAAAAAATCTGAAAAACTGAAATTTAATTACCATTCGTTATCCATCTTTTACCTTCAAATTTTAATCTTACGTTTAATTTGAATTAAAAATAAAATGCCAAAATTTCAATAGAATCAAGATTACGTAGTTTAGGATAAATGAAAAAAAATTAATTTTAATAGTTTCATTGTATTAATCACTCGTATTTATTAATTTAGCTGCTACAGGAACCTAATTCACATTTAGTAGTAATAGCCTGTATTTTATATAAATTTAATTTTTATGATTTTGGATGTTTAAATACGCTTAATAAACAATTTTATATGCATACGCATTTTTAGTAATAAATATATTTTTAATTCAGTGATTTTGCATATATACTTATTATCATACAGTTTACAAGAATTTGCAACTAAAAATTTCATTAAATTCATTATACAAAAAAAAAAAAAAAAAAAAAAAATATTAGAGACAATGAAAAATATTATATACCTTGAATCCTAATATATTTTTCGGCAAAATATTTAGTTTTTCGTAAGTTTAATTATTTCACAGGAAATTACTATTGGCAAAATCTAATACAAGTGCAAGCATATAAGGTGAGATAAAAATACTTTCTTTATGAATGTATCAGCTTCAAGTACAGCTGAAAATACTTAAGTTTGTAATTGGGATAAAATTTAATTAAATGGACGTGCCATCTGTCACAACTTAAATTAGAATATCTCATGAATGTTTGTTAATTAAATTTAATAAGCTGTTTGATAATGAACCAGTAAGTATAAAGCAAATGATATACTAAATCAGATTTAATTCAGGATACTTCCGACTTACTAATGTAATTAAGCTATTTTGCAATACGTAATCACAGAAAGTAAAACTTTGACTTTTTAACCTAAATCATTAATTGCTTTATGTATGCTATCGAAAATATTTATGAGAAGAAATGGCTCATTCATTTTAAATCCTTTAAGTATGGTTTACTTTTGGAAGCAAGACTTAAAATATTACGAAGCTTACATCCATAACGTTCCGAGGTTATATGTTAGAAAGCTTACCTAAGTCTTGGTTGTGAGACTTTTCATTGCCTTCTATATACAGTAAACTGTAACCATCCCACAACTTTCTCATTCCTCGTGGACACTGTGGAATGTTATAAGACTGGCTGTGCCGGACCACGAGCATTCCCATTAGTTTTTCACCGCCAGGTCTTCCGGGAATGCCCCTGACACCAGGTTCACCTCTAACTCCAGGAGGACCTGGAGGTCCTGGAGGTCCATCATAGCCTCTGTCACCTTTAGGACCATCTGGACCGGATGAACCAGGAGATCCTGGTAATCCATTAGGGCCAGGATTTCCTTTCAGGCCTTAATATCATATAAAAAATAAATAAGATACAATTCTACATTTCTTAGAATAATATTGTTATTCAAATAAGTGCTATTTTTCAAGACTAACTAAGAATTAAAATTGTTCGCAATATAAACCGTTTCTATAATAATATACCATCATTTGAACAAGAAGAATAAAAAATACATATAAACTGATTTCATGAAAATGTACTCAGGTATATCATAAATTATCACGTTTTATTTTAACTATAAATTTTTGTATAACCCTTCACTTCATCTTCGATTATATCTCAAATAAATTTACTTATCCTAGAGATATACTTATTCTATTTTTGCCTAGTGTACGTGCACTAAGAAGTTTGTGTTTGAAAAGCAGATGCAGATGTGGACTAATTTGTGGTTTTATGTGCCAGGAAATGTCCCTTTGCTTAAATTCTGTTTCTGCTCAGAAAGAGTTTTGATTCTTCGGCTGTATCTTATTTACCTAATAACTTTTAATTCATTAGATACTCATTCAGCTATAAACAGACAATAATTAACTACTTAATTATCCAAATAAGGTCAAGACCTACTCATGTTTTCATTATAAATTTATGCAAGATAACATCCAATGTAATGATATTAATTTATTCTTTGTAATTTGTTTTGCTCCAATGCGGGCTCTAGCTGTTTGTAGGCATTTGCCACTACTAAGGCCAGAAGCGGTGGTGGGACACCGTTGCCTCCTATGAAGGGACGAACAAATTACATCCATGCCCTTTTCAGGCCTTCGGTATGGCAGACAGAGTCACTAACCATTTTCCCGTATGGGCAGCTTGCAAATTTTATGAAGGAAAGGAATTATGTACAAGATACTAGCGTAAAAATATAATAACGTCTGCACAAAAATAAATATAGATCTTTTTTTCTTCTTTCATTAAGAATTTCACCTGTAACAAATAATTTTTATTAGAAAAAAAAAAAAAAAAAAAAAAAAAGATCAAGTAAATAGCTTCTAACTTCATTCTTGGCGTTTAATGATAAGTATTAGAAATTTACATATAAAACTTTCAATCTACATTTTTTTAATGTGCGCTTAATTTAAACCTGATTTTGAAATTGCTCAGTGAAAAAATATTCTGCAGTCTTTTATATATTTAATAAAAAAATGCATTATTAAATTTTATAAATTATTAAATACATAAATTGCTTTATAAATATTTCAAACAAATCAATATTAAAAAAAAATTCATTAAAACTGCGGTCGCTAAGAATAAATATTAAATCTTAATTCACTAATAAAATTAAAGCTCACTCAGCTAAGTCTCAGAAAGAGGAAATAAATGTAAGAGTCAGTTTTTCGCAAATTATTAAATTCTAAATCTTCCTTAGTTCAAGCATTAATGTTTTCCGAATTTATGAAATATTAACCATAAAAATGAGATTTCTCTTCTGGAAACAGAAATCAGTCTGCGGATTCGCATTTTTACAATGCAAAGAACAATTTCTTCCTTTTTACTTCCTTGTACGAAGTATAAAGGAAATATTATAATCGCAAAAAGTTTCAGGAAGCATATTTCAACGAAAATATCAATTTTCACCGCTATTGAATTAAATTTAACGATGATTTTGCGTGACATCTGTACGTAAGGACAGAATAACAGTCTCTTTTCCTCTAAAAAGTTATAAAACTGCTTTAAAAATTAATTCTGAAAAGAACTTTTCGTGGCGTCTGTACGTACGTACGATCTCGCAATAACTCAAAAACGTGTAGCCTCAGAACGTTGAAATTTTGTATATAGGACTGCTATAACATGCAGATGTGCACTTCGTATTTTGGTTGCCATCGGCCGCGCCAAACGTATATAAATATATTTATATATATATCCACTCTGTTACCCGGCTCAGTGATCTCAGTTTTCTTTACTCTTATATGTTTGTAAAATTGTGCAATTTTTGCTTTAAAAAATGATATGAATTATGTTGTTCTTATATTACGGTTAAAGGTTTTTATACTCGTTAGTTAAATCTGCATACAATATTTTGTAGAATTATCAACAATTTTAAAAGCTGTTTAAGTGGCGAGTTAAGCCTAATGAATTTTTGCGATGGCGGCCATGTTTATTTACATTTGAAACTTGGCAGAATGACGGATTTGTTGCCAATCTAGAGAAACTAAGCTTCGCAACAACAAAGATAACGCCTTCTTTTATCATTGTGAATTAAATCATGCTTAATCGATTCTGGAATTTATTCGAGGAAATAAATGTTTAAGATTTACTTCGTAATTTTTAATATAGATATTTTGAGTTTTTATGTATTTTTGCCTTTTCGCGAAGTGAGAACTGAATTAATTGAATGAGAAATACTGAAACGTCTGTGAAAAACTGTTTCTTTTTTGTTTTGTTTGCTTAATTTCTTTTATACATCGTTCTAGATTTATTAGAGTATTTGAATAGAACATGTGGCAACGATTAGATAATTCTTCAAATGATAAAAATTTTGTGTATTCTGAGTTAGAAAATAAACGAAATGTAACGAAATGTAACGTTGTTAAGTGTACTAGAGCCAGAGTGTCGCTATGGTAATAAAATATACTGAATTTTAAAAAGTGCATTTATTCTATCGTGGTTTATGCGCTATCGACGAAGTAGATTTATTTCAATCCAATAAAAGTTTAAAAGAAATGCAAGAAAAAATGCGTATAATTTAATATTCCGTACAAAGAAGTCATGTGGTGTACACATCAGCTTTTTTTGTTAGACATTATGTCTATAACGTTAAATATTGATTGTGTTAAATTATATTCAAATTTCTTTCCGTAAACGGACAATATTTTAGAAGCAAGTTGAAATGTGCCTGAAAATAACTTCAATTTGATAGTTAAAAATGAAAAAGCTCATTGTAATTATTAGCACAATTTAGCAAAATTTATAGCTGACTTTACTTTTCACAACTTTGCCGTTATTGCAAAAATTGCAGCGTTTGACTCTGAAATTACTGCATTTGATTTAAAAAGAGAGGTGTAGTTTAGAATAGCACTATAACTTTCACGTCACGCTCTTCTTCACTACCATAATGGCAAAACTTCGATAAGGATGGACCAAAGAAACTACAGCAATCCAATAAATTTTCGTTTATTTGGGAACATTACAATGCTGAATATCTTTATTTATTTACTATTGAGTTGAGGTATGTTAGTAAAATTGGCACAAGTTAACTCATTGCAGCTTGATTGGAACTAATTAAAAAAGCCAAGTCCTAAAACAATACATATATTACAAATTAACAGAATGCGAACGAAATTTCTTTTATAGGAAAACTAAATGTAAAATAGGTATTTAATTTTGATGTCTTCTAAGAAGAATATTATACCATATTTGGTGTAGAAGTTTAGGCCTCTGAAATTTTTTTAATACATAAAATCAAAGATTAAACAAGTTTGTCCTTAAAAAAAGTATTGTCAGTAGAGCGTGCTTTTTCAAATTTCTCTTTATTTCTAACCTGACTATATTCCTGCACTCAAATATCATTTAAATGATTTTGGCAACTAATTCGGAAGTTTTGCGATGTAAAATCTTCAAATTTACATAAATGAAAACAGAAGAGAAACAAAGTGAAACATAAAATTAGCAAAGTACATTTCAGTCTTGCAGATTTCCTTACTCCTGATGAAGAGGGACCTATACCTGTTCGCGCTGGAAATCAATTGAGTTCTTGACTAAATCTACGCCAAACACAATGTTATTGCCTTGCTAATTTTACATAAATATCTTTATATTAGTTCAAATAATGTTTTTAAATAAAACTGCTCGAGTAATTCATACCTGGGTGACCCGGTGCTCCTGGAAATCCCTTAGGTCCTCGCAATCCCGGTTCACCTGGGATTCCTGGAAGTCCAGGTTCACCTTTTTCGCCTCGTAATAACTCAGAAGGTGGAACATTACCTTTGTCGCCTTTTAAACCTTTTAAACCATCAAATCCTACGAAAGAATAAAAATTGGTACAAATGAATAAAATAAACAATAAAATTTGAATTAATAAAGCGAACAGCAAGAAAAAATCTTTTTAAACTGGGATGTTCTAGAAATGCCTCTATTCTGAAGAGATTATCAGAACACAGTATTCAATTTGTAACGGCTTAGCTTTAAAAATGGTTTTAAATTTTGAGGGATTTTCTCTTAAAAATGCAATTTATGCCTTTAAAAAATTAGATAATTCTGCATACAATAATTAAAAGTACTACTGAAATGTTGCAGTGTATGGAATCATTTGAATTTCTTTGTGATATTTGGATCTGGCGATAATATGAATATATCAAAATAATTTTAGAATTAGCTTCTGAAATTATCAATCATATAACCTGGCAAGGGTTTCTTACAATACTGTAATTATTACAAAAATGATATACAAAATAAATTAGTAAAAATAAACGTATAATAATAAATTTTATTACAATCACAAAATATTGTTAATAACTGCATACTACGTATTAACCTATAATGAAATCCGTTTTGCAAGATGAATGTAGTACATAAATTGCAGTTATCAAAAGAGAATAAATTGTAAGTTACATGTGTATAATGATTATCCACACACAAAAACGCATGAGATCTCATTTTTTTAATTTAATATTGCTCATATTTTGGAAGATCAATAATTTTGCTACCCATTTTGAAAAACATAAGTACACACATCGAACATCTCTGAAAATTCTTCTTTGTTTCTCAAGGAACGAAATGAAATTCATTGGATCATCATTTACGTACGAGCGCCCTTTTATGCTTTTTTTATATTTTCCCTGGTGAGAAATTAAGATAATTTTATTTCTATTAAATACTTTATAATTTGGAAACATTACATCTATATATACACAGATGCAGTATAATTTTTAATTGATTTGAAATTCAAGTAAGAGATTATTCTTTTCCATTAGGAAGTTTGCACATCCATTAAATGATTTTCCAAGCCGAAAATGTAAAAAATCAGCTATGCCTTCGGTAGGATTCGAATTGCGGATCTTCCAATTGCTAGCCAGATTTATTGCACGATAACAAGTAGGAAACAAGACAAAAATTCCTTACATTCTCCCCCATTTAAAGGGCGACTGGGAAGAGAGGAATGAGACCCACTCCACCAAATTCATATGCTGACAAATTATCGTGTTCCATTTTTTAATGGAAGCCATTAGATTTTCCTTAGCCAGAAACAGGAACAATCAACTATGGCCTTTTTGAGAATCGGAATCCGGATTTTCCGACAGATGGGTAGAACAATTCTCAAAGTAAGTTTTATAGTTTATACAAGAATTATGAAATGAAAATTAAATAAAATATTCATACACGAAATAACTACGTTACATTTTCTAAGCATATTTTATAGACTTCATAAAATATATCTTACTGACCTCGAGGACCTTCTGGTCCTGGTAGACCATCTAAACCTGGAAAACCTTTAGAGCCTTTAATTCCTGATAAACCTGGAAGTCCTGCATCTCCTTTTTCACCTTTAACACCCGGCAGGCCAAAAGCACCATCACGACCTATATGATGATCAAAATATTATTACGCATTTTTAATTTGTAAAACATTTTAATTGCTGTCTAATCTTGATTAAGAAATCCGAATTCAGCGATTCTCTCTATTAAACGGATATCATTTCGAATCATTATTTTAAGTTTTATTAAACTCTATTTAAATACACACAAGTCTAAAACCATTTAAAGTCTAAATTTAAAGTCTAAAAGTTAAAGTCCCCATTTAAAGTCTAAAAGTTAGAGAAGATTAAAAGCAATTGTAGATTTTTGGGGTGAAAAGCCGCGTTATTGTTTAAGTGCTCGCACTGATTTTTTTAGACAGAATTTAGTATTGGTCAGACCCCGTATCGATTCCTGCCATCATGCGAGATTTTACCAAACCTCCTTCTGAATTCAGCGCGAAACCAGGTGACTGACATAAGAGGTATTAATTTTGGTAATTAAATGTGAAACTATATCGCCTAGAATATTAAAAGTTAGTGTCAATAAATAATTGATTATCCAGCTTTTAAACTCTCGCTGATTTGCAACCCACCATGAGTGAAAATATAATGTTTGTTGAATTTGCGTTAAGTTGATTATAGAAGTTAGGGCGATAATTGGAGAGCATACAGGAATAAACTCTTAGTTAAGTATCGTTAGGTGCATATATTTTTAACAACCATTTAAGTATATATGAGTAATAGTATTCTACTTTTCTAGAAAACGTGAAAAACCTCGATTTCATGAATACTTTATGGCGATTTAATAAATTAGAAAAGATTTTCGTAATTTACCATGTTTTAGTTTTTTCAAGAATGTATTAGAAACTTGAACTATCGTTTTTTAACCCTTTGCTGCACAGTGTGTCCCGTCTGGACACACCTAAAAATTTCCTTCTGTACACACAGAAAAATTGAATGAAAAAGGATTTATAGGTTACTATATGTTACTGTAAACCTTCTTTATTTATAGTAGATGGCAACTTAACACAAGCCAGGCCATATATTTTAGCCATGTTTAGTTTTTTAAGACCCCCATTTTTAAAAAAAATCTTCTAGAATTTTTTAGGGTATAAAAGGAATTGTTTGAAAAGAAATTTCTATGTTATTTTTTTGGCTGTATGCTAATCTCCTTATTCTTTATTAGTTTTAAATTTTTTACCTTGAAATCTTGCCTAAAATCAAACGGCGAACCCTAGGTGTGCCCAGACCGGGCTCACCGATAATTTAGGACAAAATAATTTAGAGTCTGTATTCTTTGTCTCTCCGCATCTCATCGGTCAGTTCATTGGCAACAATGCTCGTTTCAGCACTCTTTTCGAAGCTGTATTAAATCAGTGTGCCACTTTGGGCACACACATACAGAATTAAAACGATAAGTGCTATCATCACAAAATTTTACTTGTGTACTTCTCTAGGCCTAATTAGAGTGCCTACTTTTTTTTTTTTTTTTTTTTTAAATCAAAACTCCAACTTTAAAACGTAACGTGCCGGAAAGGGTTAACGAAAGTTTTCCGCCAAAAAAACGTTCTTAATAAAGTCAGAAAATAAACACGAAAACAGTACCTTTAGTGCGGGTAGTAATCATCACCCAAATCTATTATTTTCTGCCAAAGTTTTGATAATTTTTCAAAGCCTTCGGCCCAGAAACTAAGTGGACACGAATCAAAAAACAGATCAACCTCATTTCGAACATCCTGTGCAGAATGGAAGATAGCACCAGCAAGATGTAGCTGCAGGGGTGAAGAAAGGTAGAAGTCTGAAGGGGCGACGTCGGGGCTATATGATAGGTGGGGCTATAGATCCCATTCGAGTATGTTCTGAGTCCAGCCGGTAAGTGCAGACACATGTAGACTTGTTGTATTACCTTCATGGAACATTACCGCTTGTCGCTGGAATTTACTACGACGTTTTCCCTTGATAGCACCATCAACACGGACTAACATCTCGCTGTACACCTTACTGTCGAAGGTTTTACCTTTTTCCAGACACTCTTTGTGGATAATACCACAGCAATTCCACTAGATACAAAAAATGATCTTTTTAGTAGTCACAAAAAAAAAAAAAAAAAAAAAAAAAAAAAAATGCTCTTTGCAACGCTGCTGACGGGCACACCGGGAGCAGATCAACCCCCCTTTATGTTTGTTGATGTAAATCTCATGGAGGTAGGAAGTAAGATGGAGTCGCCCTAAACAAGTTTCTCCCGTACCTTGCTCTGAAGCACCGGCGATCCCTACGTGGTGACCAAAACATTGGGTTATTTACCATTGAGTTCAATGGGATTTGACGCGTTCGGATGTAAATATTTTGTAATTACGTCGTAAATATACATATAAATGTATATATTTTCTTTTTCTACAACACTTCAGAGTCCTAAGTAAGTGAAAACAACATATTTTTAAACAACATTTCATTCTGAACGGAATTAAATGCTATACTTTTCACAGGACAGTTTTCTCAGAATAGTTTAATTTGAATGAAATATTTTCACAAGTTTTCGTTAATTACATTAGAAAAAAAAATTAAGGTAATTCGATTTTATTCGGTTAAGTTACAAAAATTAAGAACAAAGTTTATTTTATTATTAATATTAAAATTATGCATTATTTCTTTCCTATTTATAGAGCTTCTTCCTAAAATACTTTCTTAAATATGACATGATTTTTTGGCTTCTGAGGCATCTCTTAAATCGAAAAATGTAAGTCAATTTATAATTAATGCTCTATTCGGTTCGTTTTAAATTAGAGAATTATTAGGAATTAGCGAAATACTTTAAATAGTACTTGACTTTCTCTGAACATTTCTGAAAGGGAATAAAATAAGTTTTTTTTTTTTTTTTTTTTTTTTTTTTTTAAGTATTATTTAAAACTTGTAACTGAGTTATTATAAAATGTAAGGGAATAATTCTTTTTAATTATACCTATCAGATTTTTTTTTACCCTTCATTTCAACAATACATATTCTAAAATTCTTACGTTCTTAAGTGCGCATCTCATAGCATTTGCTTTACAATACCTTTTAACAGATTGCTTTCCAATACGAACAATTCTTGCTTAAATAGTTTTATAACATATTTGTCAACAGGATTTCAATTTATGTTTACAATTCAATATTAAGGTTATTATATATTTAGATAACATTTATAATCATTATAAATTAGATAATTTAATAATTAGATTTCTTCACAGTACTTTCACAGTTGTTTATAAGTCAATAAATTCTTCATTTCAAATACATTTATAAATAATTTAATGAATATTTAAGTATTTTGTCAAAGGCAGATACATGCTTTTTGCAAGCACATGCATAAATACCCATTCATATTTCCTATTTTTCATTTCCGGCATGTGCAAATCTTTAATTTCTGTGCATTCACTATATTTTTCGTGTAAAGTAATTTACACTAATTTAGCATACACCCGAAAGTTTTACATAAAAAATATATATGAATATAATTTGAATGAAAATTATAAGTATTATTTTTAATACCCACTCAAATGGTCACATCATCTTGACCGCACATGGTACTTCCGCCAAATTCGCAAATGTATCCCTCTTCTGTTCCACACATTTGTGTAAAACTGTACATAATTTTACACAAATGTGTGGTTCCAAATCAAGGGAAAGCTAACTTCCTGGCATATCTGTGAATATATATTTATTAATTTTGACGAGGATTGCAGCATTTGATGGTAATTTTATTTTTAATTAACCCAAATAAGTAAAACGTGTAAGCCCAAAGTGATTATTTTTTCAGATATATAAAATTAAAACGATGGGTTTAAAATGAGCAGCAGTAAAGCCTCTCCTCTAAAAAATTTTAAAAAGTACATGTTACTATAATATATGGATGTGAAAAAAATTGTTTTATTTAAAACATTTTGACGTTTGGAAAATAAAATAAAAGTAGCGAATACTCTATCAAGGGTATCGAAAGACGTATGCAATTTTAAATGTACCGTAAGGTATTTTTCATTCTTTAAGCATAACATTTTTCTTAAAATGTATATTTTTGTAGTGCAACAGCTTAGAATTTTATAAAACAAATTCATAATCAAAATCGCTGTTGTTAGTTTATCGAAAAATAACCAAGATGTGATTTTTGCGTAAATGTCACTAAACTATACAAATTGCTATTATCCATCGCACTATGAATGTTTCTTTCATGCGAAAGTGTCCCTTTTTCGATTTCTTTGGAACTGTCGTGTGTCGAAATACTATCAGAATCTTGTCAAGCGAGCTTCTGAATGTAAACAAAGAACACCCCATCTGGTGACCCAAGCTTCAAAGCAGTGCTTCACTTCTAGCGCGGGTTGGCCCCTCCTCCCTTTCCTACCTCCATGGTAAATCCACGTTTCATCACAAGTGAGGATCCGGTCCAGAATTTTGTCCTTGCGTTGATATTGGAGCAGATTAGTGCGGGATTAGTACCTAAACTATACACATGATTTGGGGACATAATAATCTGAGAATAACGGGTAGCTGACTTTTTGGAACAGACCTGGAAGTAAATGATGGTTATAATCTGGTAGCGTGATAGCTCTATTTCAGACACCTTGTACTTAATGATATTTCTTTTACAATTTCACAACACGATCTTCTAGAGCAAGTCTCTTTCTTTCAAATGCCGAAAATCGTTTGACAAAATATGATTAAACACGCCAACGACAACTGTTTGCGCAGACGAGATTTGCGATGGCTTGCGGGAAACTTTCGTTAAATCCCGATATTTATTTGTCTGTTTAAAATTCATGGAATAAAATAAGAAAATAATGAGATTTTTGTTACAAAATGCAGTCAAATGTATCTTGTAATAAGAATCGTGGCATTTCGAAGAACTGTGAAAAAAATACTATCAGAAGACGTAATAAGATTTCACAAATCTACTAAGTTTAAGATTATTTTTTCTACCGGTATTGAAATTTACGGATTTTCGAGTACAGTTTAATGATACTGATAATGAAGAACTGAATGTCTGAGAATAACGGGGAAGAGGTACAAAATATAATGGATGCTCTTCCTTCT